GGCTATTGCTGAGTACATTGTAAGCCGCCCTGAGTCTTCGGAGAAGGGCGGCATATAAATCAAATTTAAAAAAAAAAAAAAGGTTCCTAATACTGAAAAGCAGTTTACAAACAACTCCTATTCCAGGTTGTAAACAAGGCCTTGGTTGGGCTTTCCATCAGATCCTCAGGAAATATCCTAAATTCTCTTTAGAAACCCGACAGGATCCATCAGTCACTTGGGCCTGACCAACTGAACAGGATCCAACTTCCCATAGCACCAGCAAGCAAGAGAATAACCAGACAGTAATCTGTCTTCAGCAATGGTAATATTCTCCAACATCAGATCACATCACAGCTGCCCTCAGATAAACCACAGATCTAAAATTCAGTCCCCAGCAGGCACAGGCCCTCTGTTATTTGGGACAGATCCATAGTTGCCACAGAAATCATAAATCCTGTTCAACTGATGACATTCATTCTGTTTGTTATATCTATTATCACTAATTCTGCATATGGCCATTGTTACTAGAAAACCTTAGGATGCATTAAGAATACCAATTTTCCAAACCATATGAACATTAAAAGAAACTTCAGAATACCAGTTTGCAGACTTTATATTAAATTCTTTACAGTTCTTTGCAGGCCTATGAACTATACTTGGAGCATAATACTAGCAAGCTCAGAAAGTTAGTGCTATGAAAAGGATGAGCAATATCAAATATGATGGATTTGAATAATTTCTCATAAAAGAATAGTCTTGTTATGTCAGGTTCATGCACAACTTAAAAGCAGAACTATATTAATAGGCTCTCTGCAAAAGTCAAGCCTTAAATTGCAGACAAAGAGCTTCTGCTTGCAAGAATATTACATCATCAAAGCCTCCCACGAACATTCAGAAAATAAGCTGTACTTCTGTATGGCAGTGAAGCAGCAAATTGAATTCTCATAATATGTTTTGAAAATGAGTCTTGTTAGGTTTGATGAGGTGGAAAAGGTATTGAGTTCACTGGTTTGTTCCAATACGTTCAGTACACTTTAGTTGGCTGTTTGCCACAACTAATCTTTTTAATGGCAGTGTAGCTTGTAAACCCATTTGGTAGAGAGCTATGCATCTCAGTTTTAGAATATCACACCACGTAGGGTGGTAAATAAGTTTCTCTTCAAGCATGAAGGCATTTGCTGTTTCAATCCCACAAATCTTATTTTAAAACGTTCACCTTGAAAGCCTTGATTTCTTTTTGAGTCTAGCAACAACTAGAATACTTTTCCATATGTATTTAATCCTTATACTTTTATTGTTCTATTTTTCAAAATGTGCCTCTCCCGATTATCTTTAGTTTTCATATAAATTTGCTGTGTAAACACTTGCTAATATAAATAAGTAGCATTCCTTAATGTAAACCCGGATTTAATTTTTATTTATTTGAAATATTTAATTATTTTATTGAAAAATTTAAATCCTTCTAAAGAGTTACAAATGATAATTAAAATTGTGACACTTTAAATAAAGCAATTCCATTATAAAACCTAATAACAGTAGATTTTAAAATATAATAGACGGCATATAATTCAACTTGAAACCATTCACAAATACATCTTTTCTTCCTGTGGTTAATTGAAGATAGTCTAAACTTGAATTACCCTGAGAGTTGTTGGTCCTCTGGATAAAACCCACTGCATTCTTACCTGATAAGCAATGCTTCTCATTCAGCCTGTTGAAAGAGATCTTACTGCAAAGTAGAAGAAAGTAGAAGAAACATTCAGTTAGATTCTCAGGGGCAGAATGTGATGTTGTTGCACAATTTTATTGACAAGATGATCAACAGATGTTTGTAAGTGTCTTGTCTTCCTCTGTACATCCATCTTTCCAGTAGTCTACAGTATCCCTGCCTTCCTACACTTCAGTTAAATGCCAGGGGAAGTCATTATGAGGGACTACCTCGCAATACCCTTTTTCAAATTAGGCGGCATCAACACCATGGAGGTTTCGACATTATGGAAAGAGGAACAACAGAAAACAACACAAATGATAACACCCACTGCCATTTCCAACAAGGAAGTTCAGAACAATCACCAAAAGTAATTTAAAGGTGATTTGTCAAGAATCCTAAAAAATGGAGAAATTGACAGAGAAGAAGCCTTATCTGGTTCCATTCATGTAAATTCCACTTTTTAGTTCCTTATCCCAATAACAATCCCACTTTATCATAGAGTTTCATTTAGAGAAATACCAGGAGCATAGCAGCAAAATACACCCTCTCTTTGCTAATGCCCTACTGAAAAGTTTCTCAAACAGCAAAGGAGGCATCTGGTTGCTTAATAAGCTTTTTATATAATATCTACTTTGACCTTGGGCAAAATATATAGTTATTGCCTAAGGCCAAAACTCTTGCCATCCAGTGTCATCAAGAAAAAAGTGTTTTATGATTGCATTAACTATGGTATTATTATAATAATTATGTAGATAATTGTCCATATTAAACTAGAACTCTGTATTTCTAATGGTTAGAGAGCTTATAGGAATTGGCAATATGGTACCTACCAGAATCTTAATATTTAATAAAAATAGATTTTGGCATGCTATAGCTCTGAGACTGCTTTGACTCTTTTTTAAGCAGCCGAAGGTCTGCTTTATGCCGGCCCAGTGGCCAGGCTGAGCATGCCCTTTCAGCAGCAGGAGCAATAAGACAACAGATGTCAACTGGGGAACCAGAGCAGTTGGCAGGAGTCCAAAAGGGCAAAGATGGGGGGAGATAGGTGGGTAGGGAGAGTTGAAGGAACCTTGTAGTCAGAAGTGCATGCAGGCTGCAAATACCCTAATTTTGATCATGTGACTGCAGAGGCATTGCAACAGCCATAATCCTGGGGATATTTGTAAGTCCCTTTGTTTAGTGCCATTGTAATTTCCAATGTCCTGAGTTAATGGTCGTAAATTGAGGACTACCTTTAGGTTTCTCTTTTAATCTTTACTCCTGCAATTCTCTCATCTTGTCTTATACCTCTGTTTAATATTTCAAGAACTAAATGAGCATCCTTGTCTTATCACTTTTGCACCTCACAGGGTTTTGTTAGTTAATAATTATTTGTGCTCTCTGTCACACGTAAATCTTATCTATTTAATAAAATTATTTCAAAGTTCATATGTTTCAAAACCCAGTTCAAATTGTCAAAAGCATTCTCTGCATCTAAGAAAATCAATGTAGATTGTTTTTTCATTATGCTCCAAATATTTCAAAACTTCCCACAAATTTGTAATATTATCCTTTAACTGTTTTTTAGATAAAAACCCACATTGTTCTTCATAAATAAATCCTTGCAAAATTATTTTCAACCTCTCAGCCAAAACCATTGTAAACAATTTATAATCATTATTCAAGAATTATATTGGCCGATAGTTTCTTAAAGTCAAATCTTGGCCCTCTTTAGATATTAATTGGTGCAAAAGACCCGATCTACATGTGAAGGCTCAATTAAGCTGATTTATTGCTAATGTCAGGTTTCGATGTCGTCTCAATTAAAATAAATTGCATTTCCAAACAAATAGTCTTTGAAGAAATCTTTCATTTTATACAAAATTATACAAAAGGATTCCAGTATAAAGCTAAATGTTAAAGTGTTGTAAACTTTCAAGCCTTAATATGTTCTTTGTAAGGAATTCATTTTTAAATGCAAAATAAAATTCAAGTAAAACAAAATCACGGTTTGATTAAACTCTACATGACCTGTTATTCTCCAAGAATCAGGAAGATGTCATTTTATATTTCAAATGCTTTTTATTTGGTCTTTCTGCAATGCAATTTCCAGCCTTTTTTCCTTTTAAATAAATTTTAGCATTAATATAGCAACTTAAAAGTGTGTCATGTTTTCTATGTCTACTTCAATTTAAGTTGTTGTCGTAAATTAAAAGCAGATAAAGCAAAATGCGAAATTTTATTAAATATGTTGAAAACTATTTCTGTGACATTGTTAAAGCTTTACCTTAACTTTTCCCCAAAGGATTTTGAAAAATGTGCATTTGATTGTATATCCTGAAAATAAAGATGAGCAAAAATTTAAAAGAAATGTAATAGGCCACAGTTGTTTGCTGTGTACGTGAACTCTGAATGATGCTACCTGAGATCATAGTCCTACTTGCAGCCACAAAACATCCTGCTTTGTGTGCATCCCCCCCACACACACATATAATCTTTGTGACCCAACTGCTAAAACTCAGCAGTATTGTTTATTGAAGATGGAAGTACATGAAATGGTAACGTTAGAGTTAATGCTTAAGAACTGGCTTAACACAGGTTTAAAAAAAAAATAACTACCCAACCATCCCACTCAGTTTTAGGGCAAAAACCAAAATCTCTATTATGCCCATGTGAGTAACTTTACATAATTGCAATGTTTCCTGCACTCCACAGTCTTTTCAAAAAAATTTAAATGCAACCGTCAGTTACCACAAGATTGTCCTCTCCTTACATAAGAAATAAAGAAAAAAATTAGCACTGCTGCAGATAATGAGTGAAGGAACTTGTGGAAGGTCCTCTTTGGCAGGCTTTGATTCAGCAAATGTTCACACTCTTAAAATTATTTTCTGATTTTAAGCAACAGTTTCAAGTCCCTAGTCTCAAATTCACGATAAGAACCTCCCTCCAGTAAGTGCATGTGTGCACTTTCCTATAGAGAGGTAAGCAGTACTGCCAGAAAGAAAGGAAAATGCATGGTATCCAATGGCCCAGACTCAGCAACTACATCCTGTCTGGCATGTCAAGATACCCCTTTCTGTCTTATGTGGGTTATATTGGTATGTTGTATTTCCATAGCAGCAGATCTTTTGTTCATTTAAATAACCCCAAATAGTGCTGAACATTAAGAGAGTTTAAGGTTGGAGACTGAATAGTAAATATACTGGGAAAGATTTCCATATTCGCTTGGTTTTTATAGTGTTTAATAGAATGGAAGGCTGATAATCTTGCAATTAAAAGGATGTAAATTGCTAACAGATATTCCATTTGTTTTCTCCCTCTTTCCCAGCTATCCATATAGTGAAGATTATAGCCAGGGAATGCAATATATGAACACTAGATGTCCAGCTTGGTGTGACAGAATCCTTATGTCACATTCTGCCAAAGAACTCGTTTTGAAGGTAAAAATTTCCTTAAAACAGTTGTGTGTATATATGTATGTTCTTACCCAATTAGTTGTATTCTATCCATGGACCCAAGGCAGTTTATAAACAATGGAAATGGAGAATTTTAAAAAAAAACATGTACCAAGGCAGCCAAGCTCCATCATCCACATCAAAAGCATGTCAACATAATACTTTTTAAAGCCTTCCAAAAACATGAACCTCAGACAGGAATATGTTTCATAGAATAGAATAGAATAGAATAGAATAGAATAGAATAGAATAGAATAGAACAGAACAGAACAGAACAGAACAGAACAGAACAGAACAGAACAGAACAGAACAGAACAACAGAGTTGGAACGGACCTTGGAGGTCTTCTAGTCCAACCCCCTGCCCAGGCAGGAAACCCTTCACCACTTCAGACAAATGGTTATCCAACATCATGGACATCATAGCACATAATGAATGCTATGACCAAGAAAAAACAGTTCTGGGCCCCTCTTGAAATTCACCCCCTTCACATCTTTTTTACCAACTGAGTGCTCAAGATAACTAACAAATAGAAAAGTTTGACTCATTCCTTATCACAAAATGTATGACAGTGCAACGGGTTGGCTTCTGAAGATGACTTAGAAGTTCCTACTGATGAGAAAATAATGGCCTGCATGCTGATTAGTGAAAGCTGCTACAGCTATATTTGTGTTGCAGACTGTGCAGTAGCTTTCAGTAAGCTTCTGGGTGCAATTCAAAGTGTTGGTTTTAACCTTTAAGGCACCATATGGCTGGACACCTAGATATCTTCTTGATCGCTTTCCTCAGGAGGATATGCTCATCCCTGGTGTGGAAATTTAGGATACTCAATAGTTGTAAGGCAGTGCTTTTCTGTGGTGGCTCCCACCCTATGGAGCAGCTTCCCTTCAGAGGTTTGGATACCACTGCTCTTGGCATCAGTTACATAAGCCTTAAAAACAGAGCTCTTCCATGAGGCACTAGGAACCTCATAATGCAGTGCAATAGCTTTTACGTTGTGTTTTCTGTTGTTTTGCTGCCAATTTTAATATAATTGTCAACTACATCTTGGATGAAGAGGAGGAGAGATTGCAAGTGAAAAATCTGATTTAAAAAGTTATGGAACATCAAATTGTACTCTAAAGGCCTGACTGTAGAAGGCATTAACTCCCATCCTAGAAGTGAACATAGCACCATTTGATTTCAGAGCACATCTCAAATCCTAAGCATTTGGAAATAATAGCAGAGGATTTTAACAACTAGAGAACAAATGAATGATGGGATTGTTTGTTAAGGCCTGAACATCATAAGCACCATATAGTGTAGGACATTTTTGAGTGCAGCTCAGTGACAAGGAATCTCTAGTACACTGAAGATCAAGAAGTGGCAAGTATGACTTCTTGTCAAAATGATAATCAAAACATATATTGCTATTTATTAAATATGATTCATCCAAGACTTTTATAAGAAATTTACAGGCATCTGAGGTGGGTAGCTATATTTCTTTCCTTTTCCAGCTTCACTAGCTAAAGTCCCTATGATAACAAACACTTCATTTGATTAGGGGATTATTCTTTGTTCAGTAATTTAAACAAAGCCTGGAATTCAAGCTTCTTTGTGTACCTGAAAAAAGAGTTCTTGATTTTAAACACATACTTCTTTCAGAACTCCATTGTTTAGAAATGATCTTGAGTTATTCTGTATATCATTACTTGTATATGAATTATGTTGAACTCTTATGTCAGCAGTCTTATGTAAATAATGTATCTATATTTTTCCAGATAGTCCTAACAACTATTCAAGTATTGTATTTTTCGGAGTATAAGACGCACTGGAGTATAAGACGCACCTTAGTTTTGGGGGAGGAAAATAGGGGGGAAAAATTCTGCCTACCAGGTATTCATCTGGCTAGCGTCCTTAGCCTGGTCAGCTTCAGCACATTAGTTCGCTTACTGGTTTTGAGGTTGGGGCTGGTTGGAGCTAAAAAACAGCTTTTTTTTTTTAATTGAAAAAGTTTTACAAGTACAAATTTTCCCATTTCCCCCCCCCCTTTCCCTCCCTAACCCTCCCTAGCCCTTCCCTCCTCCCATGACTTCCCCAAGGTGAAATCCAAATCCAAATCATATTATATCATACTTTACCGCCCATCTATTCTGCCCCCTATGTACTATACATTTCTACATGACACTGAACTATTCTACCCCCTATATACTATACATTTCTACACAACATTCAACTAAAAGCTATCTGGTACTTCCTAGTTTGATATTTATTCTGCACATAATCTATCCATTTCTTCCACTCCCATGCATAGGTCTCTTGAGTCCGGTCTTTTAAGTATGCTGATATCTTCACCATTTCTGCAAAACTGGCCACCTTCAAAGTCCATTCTTCAATAGTAGGCATAACATCCCTTTTCCAATATTGACCAATCAGTAACCTAGCTGCTGTCACCATATACAATATCAATTTTGTTTCACCCATTGAAAAGTCCTTAACTATACCCAATAAAAACAATTGAGGAAAAAATTGGAGTTTTTTCTTCAGAACATTTTGCATAACCCACCAAATTTTTATCCAGAAAGCTTTCACTTTCTTGCAAGTCCACCATATATGATAATACGTAGCATCTACGTAGCATCTAAACAATCACATCTTGTGATCACATTTTGGTTGAACATTAGGATACATGCACGACAATTTCTTAGGATCTAGATGCCACCTATAAAACATTTTATAAAAATTTTCCCTCAAATTCTGTGACTGCGTAAATTTAACATTCTGAACCCATATTTTTATATGGGTTTTAAAAACAGCTTCTAAAGCACAGTTGATAGTCGGAGGGAGCAGCAATTAGAAAAGCAGGCAAAGATCGCTTTCCTCATTTGTTGAGGCTGAAAAACAGCCTCAAAAGCACAGCTGATCGTCGGAGGGAGCTCCAGTGACTAAAGCAGGCGAAGCGCGGAAGGGGTAAGAGAAGGCAGCAGCTGTTCCGGGTAGCCATTTTGGGCACCACACATCACGTTTTCAGCCTCCAAATGCGTCATGCTTTCAGGCGGTGATCAGCGGCGATGTGCTTTGGCAATCCCCACAGTATTTGGAGGCTGAAAACGCGACACATGGAGCCCAAAAACACAAGCCATTGTTGGTGCCAATCTCTGCAGCCAGGAAGATGACCCACAAAGGCCGAAGGGTGAGGGCCAGCGGGTGGGCAGGGTTACATTCGAAGTCTGACACACTCAAATTTTCAGCTTCTTTTAGGAAGTGAAAAAAGTGTGTCGTATACTCTGAAAAATACGGTAATTAAAATACATGAAATTGAACTGAACTTTCCCTTTCTGTTCTCCTTCACCTAATATACCTGTTACACTCACACATATACGGACAAATAATTTTCTTCTGCTGTAACCACATGGTGCATTCTGGAAATACAATTCTAGAATTCTGATTACCAGATCTTGCCTTTACCATGTGAACTTTTTTCCAGAGATATATATTCATAGAGATTACTGGATATCCCATTTCCACCGGAATTGTTACTCAAACGTTTTGCCATTTATATACTATAAATTGTACATCCCTTTTACTCTCAATAGAAGCATTAATTAAATGACAAATATATTTGCTTATTTTATTTAAAATATTCCTAGACAGCCTTTAAATAAAAATATCAAGGAGATCTACAGATACAATATTAATATTAATAAAATAAATAATAAACAGGTTAAAAAAGTAAACACCATCCCAAAATATTAAAGTAACTCTAGGCTCAGTTGGACCATACAACTTACTGAAAGGAATGTTGTTTAAATAAATAAATGTTTTCTGTATTTTTTTATTTAAAAAGCTAGCAGTGACAAATATTGCTGAACAACTTTAGATGGCAAGGTGTTTTAAAACCGGGTAGCATTTTGGGGGAAAGGTCACAATTTTTGATCTTACAGTGTTGAAACATTTGATACAGGTGAAGGCAGTTTGACTCATACAAATAACCACTGCATACAGGTAACCACTGGAGCAGGTTTCCCAAAGCTACTTTTTCAAAAGGCAACTGGACTTTCTTCATTTTTCCTTGAAGACATTTCGCTTCTTGTCCAAAAAGAAAATCCAAAAACAAAGAAAATCCACTTGCCTTTTGAAAAAGCACTTTTGAGACAACCATGACCTGGATGACTGAGAATTTCCATAGATACTGCAACTGGTAGCATTATAAGGATCAGATATTGCAGCCACCTTACTTCACCAGTACGTAGTTGTACTCTGCACCAGCTGAATTTCTAATTCATTGATACTTGTATTGTATTTCTACCTTTCATTTTGAAGCTCAAATTTTAACTGCTCCCTTTTTTTTAATGAAATAACTTTCTGTTTTTAATTTCTTCTTGCAATAGTATTTGCATAATATGGCAGCAGTATATGATTCAGATGCTGGAAGGGTTCAGGATGTAGCTGGAGCTGGTAATTTAGTCCAGGGCAGATCTGTTTGTATTGGGCATATCTGAAGTTTTTCTTTTTCTGAGAACTAATGCATAGAATGGATTTCTTTTTCTGGAACCATTGGGGCCAGATAAAAAATTATCATAGAGAATTTTCCCAGACCTGTACAAATAATCCTCACCTTATATTGTAACTGCAGTTGAGCCCTAGATTTCTGTTACTAAGCAAGACAGTTGTTAAGTCAATTTTGTCCCATTTTACTACCTTTCTTTCCACAGTTGCTAAGTGAATCTCTATAGTTCTTAGTAGTGGCTGGCTAGAACCTGGCTTCCCCATTGACTTTGTCCGAAGCTCACAAAAGATGATTATGTGATCCCTGCAACCTTCATAAATAAGAGTCAGTTGCTAAGCATCTGAATTTTGGTCACATGACCATGGAGATGCTACAAAAAACAGTCATAAGTCATGTTTTTCAGTGGTGTTGTAACTTTTAACAGTCACTAAATAAATTGTTATAAGTTGAGGACTACTCAAAAGTTTCACTTGCTAAATTTCTTACCACATGAATGCTGACTCTAAAATGTAATAGGGAAAGTCACCATTCTCAATCTGAATTTCCCATTTTTAAATTGCGATAAATTGGGATCTGGTGATTTATGAATAAACAAGCTTTAAAGGACTTTGCTAGCTTTGAGATGCTACATGGGAAGTAATGAAAATAAGATTTCACAACTGCAAGTTTTGTTTGATATTTGTTTGTTGGGGGCGACAGTTTTTATCTATGCCCAAATTAGCAGACAGTCATAACCATCAGCTCCACACAGTGGGCTTTACAGATTGTACAGACATGGGCTGTAAACAGCTTTAGCACAGCCTCATTTATCATGCCATGGTCCGTTACCTCCCTAGCATGTTATTTTATGCTTGCTGAGCCCTAACACACCAAAGGTTGCCCGCTGTTTGGGAGTCACAGAACTGCCTGAGAGCATAGCGTAATGAATGCTCAGCTGAGTGGAGCGTGTTTCTGTTCATGCGCTAGTGTAATTTGTTTATCTGTCTAAAGATTATGCACTTGAAAATCTACAATTTGATGCTGCCTTTGTAAATTATCAAGTCGTTTTTGATGAATGTATCTCCACTTCCGATAGCAGTGGCATTATGAGCTTGAAATATTAGAAAGTGTTCATGCATGCAATGCAGAAGGTTAAGGTTGTGTATTTGTGTGCGCACGCGCATGTAGATAGATAAAGATACAGATTTCTAGGCAAGCATGCTAGGAAGCAAATGTGACCTTAAGCTTCTCTACTGCATTAAAAATAATTCAATTTTAACTTTATAGTCCAAAATGTGGCTGTTTATATATAAAGTTCTTACCCAGTCAAACTTGACTTGATTATAGATGACGGAAAGCTTGACCGTTTTTCATTTGAAATAAATTAGAGTGGTAAACCAATTGCAAGCACAGCTGCGCATGTACGCATGTATGAAAGATCTGGGGAGAGACTATGGGTTCCAGATTTAATTATCTTCCAGTTTAACCAGCCTGAGAAATTGCGAGGCAGTCTCTCTCTTAAGTCATTGCTTTAGCAAGGTCATTATGCTGGATAAACAAAGCAGACGTTGGAAATGGTCGATGCAGTAGCAAAAGCTGTCTCAATGCAATTATTTGTTTGAAGGGAAGAAGGGAATAAAATGCCAATGCCAAACAGAAATAAAACTGGGTAGTTTTAATAAAGTTCGGCTGCTACTCATTTCGAGATCGATACATGTATATAAACATTTAAAAATCTACTAATGGCACAATTGTCCTTGATGTTACTTTTTTCACTCTTGGAAGCCTATAAGTTATGTTAACATCTAATTGAAAGCCAGAACCACAGAAATCAAAACTTAATTGCAAATAACTTTATTTAGAAATGGGTCTCGATATATACAGTATATATGAAGAGACAGACATCGCGATCTCTGGAACTTAAAATATATCATCCACTTCGCTTTCGTTAGCCTCTGCTAACGTCGTCAGAGTGTAAAAACCACCATTGAAGAGATATTAGCCTTTTTATATATGTGTGTATGTATGTATATATGTATGTATGCATGTGTGTGTGTATATATATATATCACATTGCTCTTTCCCCTGCTTCTATCTTATTTCCATTTTTTTCGTCAATAGAGATTTAACTAAGGTTACATTTAAATTTAACCAAGATTCATATCTATTCTGGTAAAAAGTTTAAACTGGAAACATAAATCAGTTTTATGAGTGTCCTAATCAGTTAAGACACTATTTGTTTGTTTGTTTGTTTGTTTGTTTGTTTCTTTCTTTCTTTAAATTTCTGCACCACCCATATCACCTAAATTGCATGTCAGAAGCCCTGAGACGCTTCCTGGTTAAAAGGATTAGCTGGTGACATAACTGTTGCCCTGGGGACCCCCAATTGGGAGCTCCTTTCATGTCCCTGCCATGAGCTCGGAGACATGAAAGGACTTCGCCGCTTGGCAGCTCTCAGGTCTTGAACGCTGCTCCTCTCTCCCCTAAGTGACTATTTTAATAATGAATAATTGGGAGTTTAAAAATCTAAGATTGACAAGTGTTTCAGATAAAGGCAACAGGATTGAAAACACTTTAGATGAGTGGTCCCCAACCTTTCTGGTTCTGCAGACTGGCAGTGGCGGCAGTGAGGGGGGAGAGGGGATGGTTTCGTGCATGCGCCACTTGCACAAATGCAGCTTCTCTCGCGTGCTTGCCGCTTGCATGGTCCAGTTCCTATGGGCCACGGCCCAGCACTGGGCCACAAACTAAGGGTTAGGGAGCCAGCTCTAGATGACCTTATCAATGTAAACATTATGTTAAAATTAATCCTTTCAAACCAGTTGAACTCTTCCATTGTAACCATGTTGGTGTAGTAGAAAAACTTACTGTTTTTCTACTACACCAACATGGTTACAATGGAAGTGGATGCCTTTATGCTAAAGTGAATTCAATTTATTGTGTATGAAGTTTCATCCTTAATTCACACGCTAAACAGAGTCACTTGGATTAAGATTCAGGCTTATTTATTTTAGTTAATTAATTGACCGGTAAAAATCTCATAAGATAATTGATTAATAGCTTTGATCTTTTGACAGTGTTTTATATAATATGTATTAATGACTGCATCCTCAGAGACCTGAGCATTTCCTATTTCCGACTTTCAGTTTAGCTAATTTTAACAATTTTAAGTCCTGTAATTTTTAAAACTCACTCAATGAAATAACATTGAAATGGGCTTCTGACCGGATGCTCCAATAATCTTTGCTAACTTTGGAGAAAGTATGGAATGCAGGAAGAGTTGCTGAAATCCCCAATTCTACACCTTCTCATTGTTTGTATTTGCTGACTTAAGTCAAATACAAATAAGTAGAAATTGTTTGCAGTGCAGTAGCATAATTGAAAGTGTTTAAGTCTATGCTCTGTAGACTTTGGGAAAATAATGAGTGCATTAAGAAACTTCTTTGAATGCAGCAAGTTGCTTGGTTTCATTTTGAAATGTGGAAGTGTATCATTTTTAACATTAGCGATCCAAAGTTATGTGTACCTCTTTAGAAGGAAATATCATTCAGTTCTATAGTCAAATTTCCAGGATTCTAGTTAAAATATGACCCACCTGTTAAGTTGCTATATGGTTGTAAATTAATATGCAGACCCAGATCTTGAAAGCAAACTGCTTTCTCCATCTATAGCTAAAGTAATATTTAAGTCAAATAATAGTACCAGAGTACTGCATTCTAATGATGCTATTAATTTTAATGACCCTTATTTGCAAACATATATGTATGGCAAATAATTAAAAACAATATTTTTCAGTTAATTTGGTTTACTGATTTACATAAATATGTTTCCGAACCCTGGGCAAATGCTTTGCACAAAATATCAGTACTGACTAGAAGCTTCTTTTATGTTTTTACTCAGTCTGAAAATGATGAGCGGCAAGTGGTGTATGACCATATAGGACCAAATGTCTGCATGGGGGACCACAAGGTAATCTTATCTACTTCTATTATGGACATCCCAGTGCATCTATGGCAGATCGGGCAGGGTGGGTTGTGCAGCTGCAGGTAAATTGGATCTGGAAAGACACTGCCCTCTGGCAGTAACCGGAATACTGGTTACTCTGGCAGAATATGGACCTAGTGCATTGATGGTTAACCTTTTTGCCGTCACATGCAAAAAACAGGGGTCGTGCCGGAGGGGTCGTACATGTGTGCCCACACCCATAATTCAATACGCCCCTCCCCCACACATGTGCACACGACACCCCCCCCCCCATGCTTCCCTTGCTTTTGGCACACAATTGCACAGTGGGCCTGGTAGGCCCATTTTTCACCCTCCCCAGGCTCCAGAGGCTTTCTAGGAGCCTGGGGAGGGTGAAAATGACCTTCCCCCCACCCCCCAGAGGCCCTCCGGAGGCCCAAAACAGCCCATTTCCTAACTTCTAGTGGGCCCGGAAGGCTGAAAATCAGCTAGCTGTTAAGTGCATGCGTGCTGGAGCTGAGCTAGGGCAATGCTCATGTGCCCACAGATATGGCTCCATGTGCCACCTGTGGCACACGTGCCATAGGTTCATTACCACGGACCTAGTGCAACAAGGAAGGCTGAGCAGGATTCTCGGCAGGATTCCGTGCAGTTGCCCAGCCTTGCACATAAATTACCTGCAGTCACATTTATTTTCATGAGAATTAATCTGCATTAACTTGTCACATAGCTTTTATGAAAAAATCCAGGTAATATTGTCCTAACTATGCAAACAACTTTTATTTTTTTCAAAACAAAAAATGAACCCTGGGGTGGGGTGGGGGATGACACAGTATAGCTATGCTATGGCTTTTTTTATTGTTGTTGCTAATACAATATTAGAAACTACCGTAACTCAAGAAATTTTACAGACAGTGAAAATTTTATAGAAGATTCAAGGATCGGTTCCTCCCTCTTTCTTCCATTAAACATTCATTCATGTTTAATACAAGTTCTAAGCTGCCATTTGATCAGAACTGTCACTGTAGAAGCAGTCTAAGGGTGTCGTAAAAAGCATGCCCTCATATAAAACACAGGGAACAAATTAGGACTTATTTGAGGGTATATTTCAATACGATCTGGATGGAAAGGGGAACCTGTAGGGTGAAAGAAGAGTGGTGAGACAAAAAGACTTCAGAGTGTTCTATGGAACAGTTAATAGAATAGAGAGATAAAGTTGGAAAGGGAGAAAGAAGAGGGTGAAGAAACATGATTAAAAACAGCCTACTGGAAACTATTCTCCCAGATCTGAAAAGCATTGGTTTTTCTGAAGCATCTCGGAAAGCAGTAAAAATAGAGCTGCCTGCATCCTTGAATGGGTTGCCCCTTGACAAAAAAAAACCTTGGCACTTTTTACCTAAAACTGCATTGGGACAGAAAGCACCTTTGTGTGCGTCAAAATACATCTTTTGATAAGATTTACAGGTATTTGAAAGAGAATCCTAGGGAAGTAAGGCTAGTCTAGGAGGGCAGGGAACAGAATCCCAAAAGAAGGCAGAGGTAAACCCCTTCCATATTGTTGCCAAGGAAACTACCTGAACATTCCATGAAGTCATCAATAGTGGTCCTTAATTCAAAAGAAGACTTCATTATTGAGGACCCAGTTTGTGGGGTCAATAAGCTGACTTTGTATAAATATACAAAAGTATGAAGGCTATTGCTTAGCGCATTGTAAGCTGCCCTGAGTCTCCAGAGAAGGGCGGCATATAAATTAAATTTTAAAAAAAAATTATTGGAAAATTCTGGTTTAAACACCAGAATGATGTCTCTCTGGTGACGTTAATGAGTCTGGGAATTTCTTTCCTTCACCTCAAAGGGTGGAGGCCAAACCAGAACTGGATCCAGGCTGAGTAATGTCTAGAGTGGACCCACTCAGTCCTTGATTTCAGAGGGCCTGAGCTTAACCCTCTTCCCCTGAATCCTGACCCAATAGCATGGCTGCAGGCCCCAATTGCCCTCCTGGGGTCCAGCTTCGGAGAAGCCATCTAGCACCTCGCCTCAGGAAGGGCCACCCCTTAGAAGCATTCAAGCGTGCAGCCTGTGGCAGCTGTACTACCTTTTAACTTCCTTCTTTTTCTTCCGCAGCCCGTGTTCCTGTCCTTTCGAATAGCCGCTGGGGCAGGTAAACCTATTGCCAATATGCACAAGTGTTGTGTCGTGCAGTGACGTGGTGGTAAATATCACGTTAGATTTTTCTTATCTGCTCTTTCCTCTCCCTTCCCTCCCTTTGACGGTCTGGTTTTCCTTCAATGCCTCCTTTCCCCTTTCTCACCCACCCCTCTTTTTGTGGGGCTTGTTTGCTTTTCTCCTTTGCTTTCATTTTCTTTAAAAATCTTTTTGGTTTTGAAAAGAAAGCAATAGCTGTTCGTCAATTCTACAACAGGAAAAAGATGCCTCCGACATGAGAAGATATTTCGGGAAAGTTCATTATAGCGAGGAGGAAGAGGAGGAGGAAGCTTCAAACTCCCGCCCATCGCTTAAATCGTGACAGCTCTAGCCATCCATCCAAGTCCTGCGTGCCCTGTTCTTCTTTTATTATTACTGTTCTTGTTATTTTAGGCTGTTTATGCTCCACTAGCTTATTTCTGGCGTGGACACAAGTCCCCACCACCCCCAAAAATCTCTTATACCTCACTGTCTTGTATATTCTCGTGTCATCAAAAGTGGACTTTTTATTTTTATATGGCAATGCCTATATTATGCTACAGTCCGGTTGCCAAAACATACCTACAAAAAAAAACACCTCATATTAGTTTTTTTTTTTTTTTACAGTGTTTTGCCTCTTGGATTTCACTGTGAGGTTTGTGTTTTTAGTTGGTCAGTGTGGAATGAGTGTGTGTATATGTATATGTATATATGTAGACACACCTTCCACATTAAGACCGTTTTTCATCACCCTTCCCTAGCTTAAAGCCAGGTTAGGATGTTATATATTGCCTTGTGTAGAAGTCCTGCTGTGTTATTGTTGTTGTTTGATCCTGTGATATTTGGGGGTGGGAAAGAGGATCCAAGTTCGTTTTGTTTTCTGTTTTGTTGTCCTTTTTTATAACCTGTTTTCTCATGTTATTTACTATACTGCCATGTTCCATGGTTTCTGAATCACACAACAGCAGCTGCTTTCTATACGTGTATATATTTATATATATATTGTATGTGAGTGTGTATAGAGATATATATATATACACAGATATAGAAATAATTTATAATTACAAACGGTCTGTCTTTTCCTGATACAAATAAGACTTTTCCAACAAGCCCAAATAATATCACTGTTGTCCGGCGGGAAATTCTGCCACCGGTTATTCAACTCGGGATTAACTTGCAAACCGAGGAAAAGGGGAGGCAGAGGTCGCGATGGGAGGAGGCCGTTGGACGCTTCACACCCCTTCTGAAACACGTTTCTTCCGCGTGGAAAGCTCGCAAAGGAGACACGGAGACCCCACTGGGCGCGTGGCGGCTCGTCCCGAGTTCCTGCCCTCCGCTTACTTCGGAGCAAGCCTGCCCGGGCTCAGCGCTACCAGTGCGGACACGCGTTTCATGAGGCGAGCGTGAGCCCCCGCAGGCTGTGGTGCTCGGCCGAGGGGAGGGGAGGGGGGGCTTCTCCCGTGGGAGGTGCGGCGAGGGCGCTCCACAGCCCCAGTGCTACAACCACACAGCTCAGCAGCTCAGGTGCCAAACAAAGCACGTTCGCGAAGAGCGGACACAAGAATCGGGGATTTGGGGGGGGACACGGACCAACCCCTCGTCGGGGAGCACTTGTTGATTCGGACTAGCAGTGTTTCTCAACCTTGGTAGCTTGAAGATGGGTGGACGTCATCTCCCAGAATCCCCCAGCCAGCAACGCTGGCTGGGGGATTCTGGGAGTTGAAGTCCACCCATCTTCAAGCTACCAAGGTTGAGAAACACTGGACTAGAGGAAGGCCGGGGAAGGTGGAGCTTCGTTGAGAGCTTCCCCCCCCCCTTTCCGGAGTACAGCATTAAAAGGTGATTAGCGAGTCTGTTGAAGAAACACAGGCGAGGGAGCGTTATTGATTTTATTGAGAACACTACCGAGCTCAGGGAACGGGCGGGGGCGGGAGTCGGGAGATGCCTTTGGAGAACAAATCAAGCTTGGCGGTGGGCGGGGTGGGAAGAGGGGAGGAGCAGGAGGAGAGGAAAACGGGAGGGAGGGAGGAATGTCTCCTACGTCCCTGATGATCCTAGAGGAGTGGGAGCCATTGGTGGAAGGACACGGAGCCGCCTAAGGCTCGGAGGGGTTTGTGTGCGCGGCGGGTTCACTGCGAAATGAGCATTCTGGTTCTCAAGCAATAAAAAAAAATGATCATGATTTAAAGAGGCGTCTGGCTTTTTCTGCGCGTCCCTTGTCTTCTCTCGGGGTGCAAAAATAGCGATTTGTAAAAAGGATGTAGAAATCTTCGTTTTAACACACACACCGCCGGCCCCGGTGTTTTTTCTCCACTGTGCAAGCTCATCGTCCCCATGCAGAGATAAGAGAAATGTTGCAAGAGTTCAAGAATCGAATCCAGGTGGGCTGCCGATGACACTAGACTAGCCTAAGGAAAGCAGATTCCTGTAAAGATCGCGTGGGTGGTTTTTAAGGCGATGCCTGCCTTTTTTTTTTTTTCACAATCCACAAACTGACCAGCGTTACCCGGTAGTCTGGCTGGGATGAAAAAATGCACCTGTTTTGCTAATCCCATGGCTAAAGTTGCCGATCGCTCCCAGGTTTTTCCTGCCAGGCAGCCCCAGCAAAGCCTCAGCGGAGTTAACGTGAGTGCCTTTGCGTTAGAGACTTCGTCCCGATCTTAAGCCAGTTGTGAAATTCAAATTGTTTTACTACCGGTTCTGTAGGCGTGGCTTGGTGGGCGTGCAAAATCCCCATTCCCTTCCCACTGCTGGGGCCAGCCAGAGGTGGTATTTGCCGGTTCTCCGAACTACTCAAAATTTCCGCTACCGGTTCTCCAGAACTTGCTGGATTTCACCCCTATCTCTGATCGAAAGCAGCGCCCAATTTAGAAGGATTTATCTCAAGATTGTCCACCGGGGGAGAAGGGCTGCAGACGCTTTCAGCCTGCGGATTTCCCATTAAAGCTATAGAAAAATTAAGAAAGGCTGCCAATCGTACTAACTCCCCTTTATAACAGTAGCTCTTCACACAATATGCTGATTACCTCAAGTTTAGCAAACTTTAGCATGTGTGAATTCTGTGCTGGGGCTTTACCAGATTTTGTCAAGTCTCAACTCGGGCAGTGCAAAACTTTCAGTGCAGAACTAACGAGTAAATCGAGGTAACGAGGACTTGCAGGCCACTTGCCACCTGCCGTCTGTGCTAGGAAGAAAACACCTTGAAGTCAAACAGCATCGGGAATATAAAAAACGAGTCAGATCCCTTTATAAGGCCTGAACAACAGGCTGAGCCCCAAAAGTTATATCGAACCCGAAACGCCTTTTTCCACACGACTTGAGTGATTTTAGATGCGCTGCTTCTTATGTCCCTGGTTTCCCCTGCAAGGACCTGCCTGAGTCCTGTTTAAATCCGTTTATATTCATTGAATTGGCCATCGGCCAGTTCAATTGATCAACAATTAATGCGACCCAGCATAGTTTTGGGAAGGAAACTGTAGTGAAGTCGATGGGACAAGTACACAATTGCAGTCTTCATTACTCGAGGCCAAGGAGAAGTTGCTGCTTCAATTGGTACAAAATATTTTTTACCTTTTGACTTGCACTCAATTTCATTTCCTTCTTTTCTTTCTCTCTCTCTCTTTCTCCTCCTCCCTCCCTCCCTCCCTCCTTCTCTACAAATTGTCTCAGAGTCAAAACCAGAGAAAAGGGGGAAGGGGCGATGTCTCCTACATCACCTACAGTGACCTCCCTGCTAATCTGACACTCCGATCATTACACCAGATTCAGCAAGTGTGCAGGATGACCCTAGAAGTTTCGTTTCTGGAGTCTATCAAGCATTTGTTTGATGGAACTCATGATCTTACAGGAGAATACAGAACGGTAGCGAACAATCTCTGGCAAACCTGGGAGCTCAGTTTATAAGATATGCCTTATGCGAACTCGGAAAATTAACCCAGCGTCCAGCCCACTTTCCCTTGGTTTGCACGCGGGAGCTATTGGCTGGAATTAGAATACATCCCGGGAAGGAAGAGAAGAGCCTTGGTAGTACAGTGGTTTAAAGCACCCTGTTATTAACACAGCTGCCTGCAATTACTGCAGGTTCGAATCCTACCAGGCTCAAGGTTGACTCAGCCTTCCATCCTTTCTAAGGTAGGTGAAATGAGGACCCAGTTTGTGGGGGCAATAAGCTGACTTTGTATAAATATACAAAAGGATGAAGGCTATTGCTTAACGCAGTGTAAGCCGCCCTGAGTCTCCGGAGAAGGGCGGCATATAAATCAAAATAATTTTTTAAAAAAAATTAGAAAGCAATAGCAAAACGTGTCTTATAATAGGCGGGTATTATATATTATTGCGTGATATATATAAAACCCCTTGCCATGCAGTTTCTAGAGAAAGTTTGCATTGGATTGTAAGGACAGGTCTAGCGGATATTACACCCAAAGGAAGCCGAGGGCTTCTTGACGCTCAACTTTAAATCGCATCAATATAAAATTGCCGCCTTGGCGTGGGTTGGGCTGAGCCTGGGGAATTTCAAGAAGAAGCGAACCTGCGCCCCGAGTGCCCTGCCATTGACAGCCCATTCTGCTCCCAAGCATGAGCGAAAAGGCGAAGCCAAAACGCTTTCCGCCCAGCCGCCTCTAGATCCCGAAATTAGCCCTCACATGTGGACTGGTGTCTTGGTGAGCCCAAGTAGTTGAGAGTGAAAGGGATTTCCTTCCAAGTCGGTTTGTGGAATAGCGAAGAAACGGGGAAGCCAAACCATGAAGCACAACCATCGTTGTGGAGGAGAGAGCCATAAAAGCTTCTCTTTTTGATTCTCTTCTGGAATGAACGAATCTGGCTCCCAGCCCTTTGGGAGATGCGGTAAATATAGGCTAATGGTAAGATGCGGACAGAAAGCAACGACTTAATGAGGACCAGTAACTTGCCGTTTAATCAACGCAAACGAGGCCAAGGGCTGAAGGCCGGATCTGCCCCGGTTTCAAAACGCGCTGAGTCTGGGATTTGCGCGGCCAGTCTCTGGCTTACTGGTCATCAGAATTAACCCAGCAATGGGACGCGGCTGCCTTAAAGTCATGTGTTTAAGTTTTATCTTACAGAGTTAAGGTCAAAAGAGTGAAGATTGTGGCCGCGGCGGTGCGATTGAATCCCGCTGTTTTTAAGAGCTTTGCTCGCCCCCGTCACGACCGTCAGCTGCTTTTAACCATCTTGTACTTTGCGAAAGGCATCGGTTGATGTATGGAGAATCGTTATGTGCGAGTCAGGCCATTACTGGCCCAGGATACAAGATCTCGGCTAAAAGCAACGCTCCCTTGGCTTAACAGGGTCTTTTTAAACCAGGCACGGATTGCCGTTTTACAGAGAAGCAAACTCCTGCCTATCCGACTTCTTTAAATGTTTTGCTCGCGAGGTTCGCAGCGCTCCATTTTTAAGGAAGGACGAATAGCCTCCGTCAGCACTGCTGGTGCTTCTCCCTTGGGATGAATGGCCTGAGCACGAGGAAAGCGACCCCAGGCTGGCAAGCGGGGGATGAGGGGGTGGGAGGACGTGAGCATCGCTCTTCTCCAGAGTCAAGGGCTGAGCAAGCCAATGTTGCAAAATCCAAAATCCCATCAATCTCGGCCACCATGAGAGGGGATACAGAGGCAGCTTGCCCACCCTGTGCAGCTCCCACCATCGACATCAAGGTGGCCGGGAAAGATGGGAGTTGTAGTCCAACAGCAATCCTAGGGAACAGCGGGGACTCAACGGGCCTGTAGTACAGTGGACTAAAGCACTGTTATTAACAGATTAACACCTGCTGCTTGCAATTACTGCAAGTGCAAATCTCACCAGGCTCAAGGTTGACTCAGCCTTCCATCCTTTCTAAGGTAGGTGAAATGAGGACCCAGATTGTGGGGGCAATAAGATGACTTTGTATGAATATACAAAAGGATGAAGGCTATTGCTTAACGCATTGTAAGCCGCCCTGAGTCTCCGGAGGAGGGCGGCATAAACTAAAGCAAAAAAATAATAATAATGGGCACCTGCGCTGGTTCAGCTGATGTGAACGTGAGCCAGGCCACCCATCCACCCTAACTGCCGCTGGAGTCTTGCTGCCAAAGAGGAGAGTGGCTGATCCTTGGCGCAAGTAGTCCCAAAGGTGCTTTTTCAAGAGGCAAGTGGACTTTCTGGTTTTTCCTTGAAGACGTTTGGCTTCTCATCCAGAAAGCTCCTTTGGGACAACCTGGATGACTGAGAATCTCCATTGAGACTTTGCGCAACTAGGTTTGCGTTCCAGGCCTGCTCGACTTCGTCTGCAAAGAGGGAGCGCCTGCCCCGCTGCTTCGAAAGCGGGCTCGGTCCAGATTAACGCGCCCTCATCGCCGCTTGCCACGTCTTCGCTCTCCCCCGCCCCCCCAGCCCTATAAGCCCCCCCCCCCCAAGGATAATTGCCGTCCTGCGATTGGGTGGCTTTGTGATGCTCGGAGTGATTTCAGCGAGAGGAGGCAGCCGGTCCCAAAGCGTCTCTGATCCCCCCCCCAACCCCGCGTAAACCCAGGCAGGAGCGGGGGCAGGGCCAGATTTTCCTATAGGCTAACTAGGCTTCAGCCTAGGGCCTCAAGATCAAGAGGGGCCTACATTCAAATTGTTAGCAAAATTAAAATTACACTTTCACTATAGGTGAAAGGGCCTCATAAGTGGAATAGCCTAGGGCCTCTTTTCATCTAAATCCGGCCCTGAGCGGGGGAGGCTCTTTCCGGAATAGAAAGTGTTAATAGCACCGCTGGCCCTTAAGGCTGCCCGGCCAGCCTTTCTCAGCAAGGAGAGACGCTCATTGGAACAGCTGAATCTCTGCTCCTTTCCTTTTGCACCTTTCCACAGGAGGCAGCTTGGGATGACATCTTGGTTTGCACTCACCACTATTGCTCTACTGTGCTGCTTCCCAGGTGTGTTGGATTTCATCTCCTGGGATGGTTGAAAGCTGGTTGAGAGTTCTAGGAGCTGTAGCCCAACACACCTGAAAGACTCAAAGATTGGGGTACATGTACATTGCCTAAACAGGTGCCCTTTACCCATGCCGAGTTATCCTTCCATCTTCCTCTGCAATGGCTATAATCCAAGTTAGGGGGGTCCGGCCGAGAAGTCCCTGACCAAAGAGGTAATATTATTGCTGAATGACAAAACCACCACAATCTTCCCCAACAGGTTTCCTTTGCCTCG